TTTAAACAGCCAAAGAATTAAAGATCTCATCACCTGTCAGTAAAAATGTCTGGAAAAGATGATTCCTTTGATACTATTATAAATAAATAAATCATATATCATCAGTATTAGAAGAAATATTAAGAGTGTATATAATACAAGATTCTTGTACAGAAGTGGAAAATGAGGCCCAGAAATGTAAAGTGAATTTTACAAGAGCCTAAACTAAAACATGATGTCAATTAGTACTCAATTTAAGTCTTCCAATCCCAAGTACAGTGCTCTTATCTCTACTTGATCCTAAGAGCACAGTCTCTTAATTTGCACAAACTATTTGACATTGCGTATGCAAAAGAGACAGATAACTCTGGAAAATAAAAAACCCAATCTTGAAGCAATAGTTAAGGAATAGAATACAATAATTTAAATACCAAATAAATGAGGAAGATGTATAAAGAGGTAATGAAGTCTTGGGAACATGGTACTGATTCGGCAACTGGCATAAAGTGCTTTCTTTCCTGGTCATCTCCTCCTTTGACAGCTTCAGAGAGGGAGAGGCAATCTAGGTCCAAAAGCAAGTACGTTGGTGCCTGAGATAACCCTAGTAATCCATCACTCTTAGAAAATGAACCTCTTAAAGGATAATCATAACTTGAGCTTCTCACCTAGCTATGCTTCTGATGTAAAATTGCTTTCTGTAATTAAATTGCATTTCATATATGCTAAATTTTTAAATAAACTATATGGTGTTCACTAATTGCCTTCTAATTCATATTCTGTCAATTTGCAGTCATGAATTTTTTAGCACAAGGAAAACCTATGGTATAGTGAGAACAACATGACTCAGCCACCAGACTAGGCTACATAAACAGATTTTAACTACAGGAACAAAATAATGTGAAGAATCAACACAGTTATTCAAATGACACAGGTAATTATTGTCATGATTGAGTAAATTATCCATATACAAACATGATTTAAGAGACAAACAGCTAGATAAATAGAAAAGTACCACTTTAGAAAAGGAGGACTCAATTATAGATGTCTTCAATTTTACATGGAACCTATAACCTTGAGTTTCAAAGACTATTCAGAATATAGAAAACAAACTCAAGCCACAAAAGATTGATAGAAATTGGTACTGAGATCCCAAAATCTTCAAATCAATGTTCTCAGCAAGAGTAGGCTAGGAAAAAACTTACCTTCACTGGAGGAGTATACCAAGTATGGTTTCTTTCTGTCTCAACTCTGGGCTGGAAAATAGAAAGAGAAGAAGAAAGACCATTTCTCCTCATCAGTTATAGCCATGTCTCCAGGCACACACAAATTCTGAATTCAAATTTACACTAAATATGCGGGCCAG